GCGCCTCGGGGCCGGCGGCGGCCCGCGGGGAGAGCGAGGAGGTCAGCGCGGGGCTGGGGTGAGGAGTTGGGGACACACGCACACACACACACACCGGGCGCTCGGGGGAGGAGGGAGCAGCGTCTCCTTTGGGCCTTGACCGGGGAAGGTTGTGAGCGAAAGTGCGTTGTAGGCTCGGAAACACTTTGGGAAACAGCGGTCAGGCTTGCGAGTCTCGTCACCCCCTCAGGCAGGCCGGGCCGGCTCGCACCCCTCCTTTGGGGACACCCGGCTTCTTGCTGAGGAGAGCTCTGCAGCTGGAAGGATTTGCCCTGCTCGGAAGAGGCAGAGATACGATGATTGTACTTGAAGAAACAGACAGCTGAAGGCCTCTCGATTTTTTTCTGACTTCACGCCGTCAGCATGAGAACGTACTGTTTCCTTGCCCGCCGCTTCCCCTGGTGAAAGGCCCCTGTTACTCATCGGCTGCTCCTTCGGGTTTTGCACAACTGTCCTGCCCACCCCCAGCCCTGTTGTGCTCCTGTTAATGGTGTTCCTGGTATAAACAAGCTGTCAGCAGACCTGCTGCTCTTCTGGCTCGTACCTGTTTTGAGCAGGTTGAAGAGATGGAATTTAAATAATCCGTGTGGCTTCTGGGCCCTCTGTACGCACTGGGTATCCCGTGGGGTTTTTGTCACTCCTTAAGGTTGCAACAGGGTTACATTCACTGGATCTAAGTTTGTTTCTTAGCAGCTATTCAGAATGAGCGGTGAGACTTATCAAGAGTCCAGTTGGTTTCACACCAACTGTTGCAGGGAGGTGTCTGGAAAAAAGGTAGATTAATAGCATTTCCTTCAGGCAAGAAGAGGTGTGGCAAGGAAGTGCATGGGCACTTCTTATCTGAGATGCCTGTTAACCAGACATCAAGGAGAAAAATGAAATTCCTGGGCAAAGTTCAGAGAAACAAGTACCATGCTTAGGTTTTCAGAACCCCCTAATTTCTCAGGTAGGGAAATGATTGGGCTTTAACTGTTTTATTAGGATTTATCCCCAAGCCTTGGTGGTGACACTGCCCTCCCCTTTTTAAAATTGTTATTGGAACATACATAAGCCTGAGTAGATACATTTTTAAAGTGTTGGCTTGATGGTTATTTACATATGGACTCTTTGAACTGACTAGTGACAGAAGTACTGGGAGTTAACAAGAAGTTATTATTATCATCATAATCATTATTAATATTATTTATGTTGGCCCCTAGGACATATGTTTTTGCTTAACTGGCTGAAGTCCAGTTTGTGAATTTCCTATTCCTTATCAAACGAGCAAAAAATATTCTTCATTTATCATGGCATTAAAAAATGAAATACTAATTATGGACTTTTGCGGAACCAAACCACTGAGCTCCGTGAATTGATACAATGTCTTGGGAGCTGTCACTACAGTGTTGGAGGACAAGGTCCTAATACAGTTGCTTACTCAACAAGCTTTTGGTTGCGGCTTCTCCCCCTCACTGCGCCTTCTTTCAAAGACCTGTCAGTTTTATTATGGTATGAGGACACAGATAGGTCTCACCTTTACTACAAATGCACTGTGTTTTAGTTGTATCGAGGTATTACAAAGAGTTTTCAAGTAGCTGCATTAATAGTGTGGATGGTCCCACAGGGTGCAGCAACTTAGATTTCCGGGATGTAATGTACATTCTTCAGGAATTAGTTCACTAAGGGTGTGGCAGCTAACTTCACTTTTCATTGTTCACCGGTCATGACCAGGACAGGACAAAGTCTGATCTACTGCCTATCAAGTCTTTTACTCCTGGTATGGGGCTGATGGATAGATGCTTTGTTTGCTTTGTAGGTAAACTGAATTATTGTTTATCTTTGCTTCCAAGTACAAAGATAAGCTGCACCTGGGAAGCAGCTTTTGATTTGAGTCTTCCCAACCAAGCTCAACCACATGTGCTTAAGCAGCCATTGCCTTATAGATCCAGTTCACTCTCTCTTAAAAAATATACAATGCTCAAGGGTCTGCCAGGAACTAAGAATGGAGTGCAGAACTTGCAAGAGAATGGAGGCTTAAATATGTTGCCAGTTTTGCCTGTTCCTGTTGTGTGTGAGAGGGCACAGGATATCTCATTCATTCACAGGCTTTCTTTTCTGAGCAAAGATGGTTTGTTTAAGCTCTCTCGAAAGTGCTTTCCAAAATGAAGTTTCCTGCTGCTTCTTGGTATTTAATATTGGAGGAAGACAGTTATACTTAATGCTTCTATTAAAGAGTCCAATAAAAAGGGTTAGAAGGAGCTCTAAGTCATGGTAGGGACCATGACGTATTCCCTCAAAATCTCAACCATGATTATAGCCCCTGACAGAAGATCTCTAGAAGTAAACAGTAGGGGTGTGCTAAGCAGGCCCTATTTGACTCGGATTCGGATTCAGCCCGAATCAGGGACAGTGATTCGATTTGTTGATTCAGATCACTGTCCCTGCTTCGATTCGGCCAAATTGGAATCTGAAGATTCAGTGCTGGTTTAGATATAGACACAGCTTTAAAAGTTCTTTCTACATACACGGGGGGGCCCTCCATGTGCTTGGCAGCGAACCCGGAATTGGACCAGAAGTGCTTCCAGTCCACTTCCTGATCTGCCAGTGAGCGCGCAGGGGGGCTCCCCCGCACTCACCCCAGCTCAGCAGTCGGCCGCAGGGAGACCCTAGGTGCCCCCCCCTCCTCCCCGACCCATGAGGCACTCACTAGTCACCAAGCCAAGGGGGCACGGGGGGAACCCCCAGCATGCTTCCTGGTGGACCTGGAAGTGGACTGGAAGTGCTTCTAGTCCACGTCTGGATCTGCTGCCGAGCCCACTGGGGACCCCCTGTGCTTCTGTGGGACACTCCATGTGCCCCAGCATTACAGCACTCACGAGCCCCTGCTACCTAGAGGTATGTAGAAAAAACATTTAAAGCTGTCTCTGTCCGAATCTTTCTGAATCTCTCCAGATTGATTCAGAGGGTTCTGATTCAGTTTGGAGAATTTAAAGGGTCCTCTGATTCGATTCGGAGATTTGGCCACCGAATCGGGCCAAATCTCCACCGAATTGAATTGGGGACCGAAGCGTCACACAGCCCTTGCAAACAGTTGTGGACTAATGTTGTTTCTTATATGGGCTTTCTGGGCCATGAATGAAAGTACTACTGTTAAGTGCCTTCAGGATATTTGTATGCTTGCTTATGTTTAGGATATTGTCACTATTAGCCCCATGAAACCAGATGACTTACATTTTAATAAAGTAGTGGGGGGGAGGGGGCGCGTTCTGTGTACGTGATTTCATGTGTCAAGAGGAAAAGTCCCATAAGGACAGTAGTGGGTTGATACTGAACTATACTTTAGACCCTTTGTTGTGGCAACCTGAGTAATGTTTGACAAAGTTAATGTCCCATATATTGTTACACTCAAAGGTCTAGGTTTCTTGCTATGCTGTGTGCTTAATGCACTAACTTTGCTACCAGTGAATTCTGGTAGCCACGGTGGTGTTTAAATATTGGTACTAGCAAGTCTAGTATAGCATAGATTTGGGGGAGAAATGTATTTTTAGTGCTATTCAGGTGAAAATGGGTATGTGCTTTAGAAGGTATCGCTAAGGCTTTAAGACTGAGTATTTTAAACTTTATCAAAGGCCTTATCTGCTGGAGACTTTGCTCCCCTTCAATTGGTGTAATCTTGCCATGGTTAATTGGCTAGTTGTTTTGAGCCAGTTATTGCAAGTGACTTTTTATGGTATTATTTTTAATGTTATATTGAGTTTAACATTCAAGTAATTAAATAAGAGACTGTACACTTACCCTCCCAATTACTGTTATTTCCTGTACTTACTATGTTGTACACCCTCAAACAATGAAAGAAACCTAAAGAAGGCCTTTGTAGCTCAAAGGGCCAAACATTTTTGATTGTACACTTAGCTTTTTAACATGTATGTGTCATTGCTACGTTCTTTGTAGTTGAGGTTAAAGTTATTTCTCCATTGTAAGACTATCAGTTTCTCTTATTTTGCATACTGCATCTGACATTTTGCATATTGAATCTCATATTAAGATATGTTGGGTTTTTCTGGGCAGTTAGTTAAGAATCAGAATTCCAGAGGTC